AAACCCCCCCCCCCGGCCAACCAGCACCCCCACTGGCCAGTGCAATGCTGGGTACAAGGCAAGAAGAGGAACACTTGGGGTAACTGGCAACTCCTTTGGCATTCTGCTTATTTTTTGTTTGTAATATCCACCCACAAACAAAGTAGAACTTATATGAATTCCAAATGGCATTTGCCAAGTTTTAGAGTGGGAAACTGATAGTTCCGTGTGACAGCAGAGCAGCAAGTCGGCTCGGGGGTATGGCTCTAAGAAGCCAGTCTACGAAATGTCTCCCAGGCTTAGATTGGAGGTGGGAGGGGGCAGGGTTGCAGAGCAGGGACTGTGGTCTGCAGCTTCCACATACCTGCAGAGCCCTCAGAGCTCTGAAAGCAACAGTAGTAGGCAGAGTTCCAGGGAAGGAAGAGTGATGGAAAGCATGGGTGGGAAACAGCTGGGCCTATGATCCCAAAAGCTGGAGCAGGGCTGTCTTCCTACCGGATTCTTACTTCTTGTTCCCTCAAGTCTGTCTGCTGTCTTCCTCATTCCTACTGTGTTCCTGGTATTCCAAAGTCAGTTGTGGCACTCCTCTTAGGCTAATGTATTCAAGATGGTTTCACATGAGCCTGGTCAGTCCCTCTGCATCATCTTTAGGAAAACATGGTGATGTGACAGCACCCTGTATCTCTAGAGCGCCTATATTCTTGTGCATGTTCACCTTTGGTCTCCATGAAGTCAGTGTACATTTTATCAGGCGTTCTTGGTATGTGGGTCACCCAGCTGGCAAATCACTGGGCTTCCTGATAAAGCCCTTTTCCCTCCTCATGCCAGCCGTTCTGGAACACACTCCTTCTGCACTCTTTACTGCAGCTGTCTGACTAGAATGGGGTCTTTTCCCACAGGAGTAGGACTGCCAAGGGCAGATGTTTCTGAGGGACTTTTGTGTGTAGGAGCCAGTGTCCAAAGTCCACTTCCTGCAACTCAGTCTCACTCCCCAATAGAACTCAGATGCATCCACAGGAGAAAAGACTTATCTGAGTTACACTGAATTGTGGCAGCAATGGCACAGAGTGAGCGTCTAGGGGAAGGTTTCCCCATCATAACAAGTTAGGAGAGTCCAGTTCTGTAGGAGTGGTGCTGGCTCTGGCTTCCATAATATTACTGAGAGGTTGGCTTGCTATTTGTAGGCCACTTTTAACATTTTTTTCTATGTTGTTCTGTAATTTCATTACAAACTACTTACATATGTAATCTATCCCCTGCTCATAACGCCCTATCCTTTCTGAACTAAGGACTCCTTTTTTCACAGACATGAAAAGTTCTCTGTCTTCTTTGAGCATCAGTGCTCCCACTTCTCTCCTTGGTTAGATGCTAATGTTGTGCCTCAGTCCCCTCCACACACACATCTCATAATGTCTTTCATGTTTCCTATCTCTTTTTCTTTCTATGTGTCAGTTTAGGCAACTTTTTTAGTCATAACTCCCAATTCACTAATTCTTTCTTGTTATATCTAATAAGCTATATAATCTGCCCATTGTATTTTAATTTCAGTAATAATTTTAATTTCCACATGTTCCATTTTATATTTTTAAAAAATCTACATGATCTTTTTTGACAGCATCATGTTCCTTGCTCATGTTTTCAATTTTTTTTTATTACATTCTCTAATCATCCAAAGGCATGAAGTCCCTGGGGCTGAACCTCTCTCAGGATGGGTTGCTTCATCATGGTCTGTACTTCTGACTGGGGAGTTGTGTTCACCTGAATTCTGGGGCCCAGCAAGTTGCACAGATGGCCATCTGGGACTAGAGGGAGAACAAGGTATTTCCAATGGCATAAGGTAGCACACATACAAGTGACAGCCCTACAAGAGAGGGCAGGATAAGTTAAGTCTCTGAGAAGACTTCTCAAAGTCCCTCACCTCATCTAGACACTGGCTGAAAGAGATAAGTGCCTTAGCTGAGGAATGGTGTCTTCTGGCCTGAAGTGTCCACAGGTGTGGCCTCTCATTGGCCTGACTTTGTGAGGCCTTTGGCCTGTCCATGGCTGCCTCAGCACACTTGCAGCAGTAGCCAGGGCAGAGATGCATCCCAAATCTCACTATTCTCAGCCTCTGGGGACTTTAGATACTCACTTTTTATGTTTATCGCTCACCACTATAATTCCTAGGCTTTTCCAGCAGAGGGGTTTTCAAGGAGACATAGTCCACCATATTGCCAAAAGGGAAATACGTAATTTCTATGACCCACTATAAATCCTAAGTTGTTAATACCATCTTGACTCCATGGGAGAGCCTTTAGAAGTGCTATTGTGAAATCACAAAGTTCATCATAGCAATGTCAGTTAAAACTCAGGTAAGTCTGCAGTAGGTAAAGTGGTGGGGCACTGGGGAAGTTGCTGTCCTGACAGCCTCTTTGTGTCCCACTTGGCCTCAAGAACACATCTTCCACACCAAACGCGGCCCAACCTTGTTGTTCAGAATCATCAGACTAAGAAGCCTCGTTCATGGACAGTCCACACACTAAAGAGATTATCCAAATCAGGTAAAAAAAAAAAAAAAAAAAAAAAAAAAAGTCAGGTAATGAGTTACAACAGGGTTGTCATGTTTACCAAAGCATTATACTCCAACTCTTCAAACGTAGCAAGATGGAAAAACCAAGGACCCAAGCAGAACACTGTCCCACTTAACCAGCATGGTAGGACATTGTCTAATATTTAGGCTGCAGTTGTGACTGGCTTCTCCTTCCAATTTCCTAATTTGTATCAACTTTTTTCTTTTTTTTAAAGAAATTACCACCATTCATCATTTTAAAAAGAGGGGCTCTGTAGGACTCAGCCAGTCCCTTCTTCTCTGGTCTTAATCTTCTCTCCCCAAGAAGGGAGCAACTGGGTCCACTCGTGGAATTCAATGAAGGCTATCATGACCAGGAAGCCAGAATATAAGAAAGTGATGTCAGCATAAAGGGCCCAGACAACAGCCTCCCAACCACTGCCTATCACTTTCACTACACTAAAGCATACTGAGAATTTAAAAAATAAATCATAATTCAAACCTGCAACCACACCTAAACCATGTCATCAATCCTGCTAGTCCCTGGGCGTGCCTGCACAGGTCTCTGACTGCAACTCTGGGAGCAGCATTGGTGGAGGGGCCTCGTCCTGCCTCCTCCCGAGAGCTTACTGGAGCACTCTCTGCAAACCCACCTCCCCAGCTTCACAGGTCAGAATCACAAACTCCTCACAGTTTAGAGATTTACAGATGAAAAAACTGAGCCACACAGGGAAGATAAGACATACACCCAGAGTCCCACAGTGTCTCACCAGGATACATCCTGCATAAGCTCTTGTGCCCTCCCCTCTATGGCCTTCCCTGGTAGACTATACTCCTCAGTGTCCAGGGAAATAAGTAGTCCTGCAACTCCGCGGGGAGGACTAAAAGCTGACTTTGCTTTGTGCCCTGTCCTGTAATCAGTTATGGTCCCGAGTAGGACTACGTGAGGGGTTCTGGGAGTCCTCCCAGCAAATCACTGAAGCTGAAATGTCATGGGGCCCCAACTCACCTATGCTATGTTGATAGAATGGGCCTAGATAGGAGTGCACCTGTAAGGGGCCCTGAGGGAGGCTGATACCCTATAGAATCACACCTTTTCGGCAACTGAGGGAAATAGAGAATTTTAAGTACCAAGAATCTTCCTTTGCTAGTCCAAACTCCCCTTTATATAAGAAGCTAAAGTTTAGAGAGGAAAAATTATTGGATAATAGCTTGACCAGAGGAATTCTTTTTTGAAAATATTTTACATGGAAGTACTTCTTTGTGAGTGACCAAGTGTGGTTCCTCAGATAAACCATACGCTCATTCTTGAACTCTGACCATCATAGGAGGGGCGGGTGCTGGGCTCCCTTCACCTTTGCCCTGTAGCCCTGTTGACTGCTCACCAACATCCACATCCCACATCTTTGCTGCGTAAAATAATTCATCTTTATTCCATGGTGGTGGCAGGTCAGGAATGGGCAAAACCTAAGTCTAGTCACATGGTGGGAGAAGAGAGCCAAACAGCAATGGGCCGGGCTTGCCCTTCTGGACTCTGCTTTGAGATTCGAGGTGATCAGGTGCTCAGTGCAGACTGAGGCAGGGCTTCTTGCTGCATGTAGCTAAAGCATCCTATCCCAGTCCTTCTAGCTTTGGGAGTCTTGTCATTATGCATCAGCCAAGTCCTGAGAACTCCTAGGGTCACACTGTGGGTGGCTTATGCCCTTTACAGCCAGAGGTTTCACCATGATGCCACCTTGCTCTCCCTTTTGGCACAGTCCAGCACTCGGTGAGTGAGCAGAAACCCCTTCATCATCATGCAAAAGTCACCTCCAGAACACAGCAGGGAATAATGTTGGGTTCCAAGTTCTGTAGATGCCAGTGGCACCCACAGAGGATAATGTTTTCCTTTCACAAACAAGGGACATCCCCCAAGAAGTCACAACAGCCAGTACTTTCCCATCTTACAG